TCTAAAAGTTTGAGTCCTTAACCACATACCTTCATTTTTATACCAAAAGTAGAGTATGGCGAGCTGCGTCGAACGGCGCAAGGACGACGGTTCTAGGTTATACACTTTTTGAAGAAAGCTCAAATTACTGTGTCAAAATTGTCACAGCGTCACGCTTGGACAAGCCGAAATACTAAATAAATTGATAAAATATTGAACGGCAAGAAAAGATAATAAACCGTGATTTTCTAGTGAGTTGAGAGGTCTATGGAAGATAAGAAATAAGTTATATACTGTTTCGACGAGGAAGCCGCTAGATGCAAATAAAATTAAATATGAAGAAGCCATATCATCGACAAAAAATTAAAGTTCATTTAGAGTTAACGAAAAGTGCTTTTTCGTATTCAGCACACTTGATGACCTGGAAAATTTTCTATTTTTAGCGAGGGGTACCGCCAAAAAGTTAAGAAAAATTTTCAAAATCGTTTTTATAATTTTGCCATGGAGATTTTTGTGCGTCACTTTGTTTGAAAATTTTTCTTAACTTTCTGGCGCTACCTCTCGCTAAAAACAGAAAATTTTCCAGGTTATCAAGTGTGCTGAATACGAAAAAGCTCTTTTCTTTAACTCTAAACAGACTTTAATTTTTTTTATCGGTGATATGAGCTAAATTTTGATGCCACGTCACGTTATTTTGTTCAGAATTCGACGCTGATTCTAACCATCTAGTTTTTTCTCCAAAATATCTGGAGTCGGGGTACAATTTCAACACCTTCAAATGCTGTATTTACTAGCGTATTTAAACTCCTTAAAGTTTTTTACGCCTTGGATGTATAAAAAAGGCCTTTCGTTTCATTTAATGCATTTACATGTATTTGAATTAATCTGATACGTTCATAAACATTAGAAGTTAAGGTATTCAAATGTACGGAGTTATTTAATGCATTAAAAGGTCGCTTCATCCGTTCAATACTTTCACAATCTTTGAGAACGGTCTAACGTTATCACATGCATTAAAAATTTATGTACTCTCTAAACAAATAGGTAGTCTTTAAAACCCGAATAGTTTTTTGACTCGATGAAGACTAAAAACCCAAAATAGTTTTTATAACTGCTACTAAATCCCAACGATTTTTCAATCCAACTCCTAAACCATTTTGGTCAAGATTAAATAATGTTTACTAAACCCAAGGGACTTTTGGTATTCATAAAATCGGTCTACTTTCTCACAAAAGCCTTTTGGTTTTACAGAACATTAAAAGGGTTTATATGTCAACCCTTTGAATTTAGTAACGAAAATAGAATACGGCTTGTATTTAATTGCTCGGTATTTTATAATGAATGCTCAGTATGTTTTTTATTACACGCTCATTATGTTTTACTCAGTGAAAAGTTAGTTTTAGCATAGTAAATAATTTTGAAAAGCTCTGTTATTAATTTAAAAAGACTTAGTATTTAATTTATTTTTGTTCAAATTTTTCTTAATTTATATCAGTAAAAACAGTATAATTACAATTAACAGAAGTTTATTGTATCGGTAATGCTTTTTAGATTTTGATGGTCTATCTACTACGACGTCTTTTTTCACCAATTTTAACATCTTCAGAAATAGGTGGCGGGTTTGCAACAGTTTAATCTTTGCCATACCAATGACATGTTTACACATAAATTTTTTGAAAAATGCTGGACAATTATACACACCATCTAACCATTTTAATTTATCTACTGGTAATGTAACAGACCAAATATTGAATGCTTTTTCTTTATATTGATCAAAAGTATACTATTTCATTTTCTCCATTACATTAATTTTCGGCTTTTATAATTTTAGTTTCGTCTCCAACAGGTATATAGTATTCAATTAAATTATTAAATTCGGTCGAAGTATTGATAAATTGGAAGCTTTTATGAATATTCGTTCACTTTGTACTACTTGTAATGTTTCGTTATCATTTACCAAATTTACTTGTTCCGACTTGTCTACAATTGATTCTATCTTTTTCACTACGTTTCTGCACATATGAGCCCGACACATAACCATTGGCTTTTTCCCCAAAACATCTTGTAACGCATTACGTATTGAATCAGCACCATCAACAATTAAAACATCTGGATTTCTTTCTTCTAAACTGAGCTTTTGTATACCTTCTTGTAGACCACGCAACACAAACATGAACTCCTGTGTTTTCTCATTTGAACAAATAGCCATACCCAATGAATGCAAGTGTCGATCAAGATCCTTTGTACCAACAACGAAGACTGGAAATCCTTGTCACAGCAATTTATACGTTGCGTCTGCATAAATTTTTTTGACCTTGAAGCAATTTGTACTTGAAGTCTTTTTGTTGTAACAAAAAAACGAAACTTATTTTCATTCACGTTATTATCATCAATATCATCGTTATCATCATCATCATAAATCATTTGGTACTTCACAATAGGAGGAGTATCATCTGATTCTGGAATTGACTGACTTGAATCTATAAACAACTATTAAACTTTACCAAGGCTTATTGGACTTTGTTGCATCTAAAAAACAACTACGATGAAATAACCACGAATGTATTTCACTTGACCGTTTTTCTCACTCGTCTCGCACGCCGAAAGCTTTATAATTCCTGAGCAAAACAGTTGTGGATGAAAGATTAATAAGGAACGGAACGGTCAGGTGAATTATATTCGTGGTTATTTCATAATGCTGAAGCCACCTGTATTTGAAGTTCGTTATACACCATGAATGACCATTTGAACGAGGGTCATCAATTAGCTGACGACTGAATGATTCATGAATGCAACTCAAAGTATTAAATAGAATAATATCACTCACAACATATTGTCCCAGTGCTTTACTCACTTTCTTATTGAATTTAATACTTTTAATCGCTGTGTTAGTGCCCGTTTCATTGTAATAGAAGTTGTTATTGGCTTTAGCTGTTATTCTTGTTATTTTTTGATTCAATAAAGCATTTCTTTCTTACATAAATGTGACATTGATGTAACAAGATAGGATGCATGGGCAAATAAAAATCTACTAAGAAAGCATAATTTTTATCAATCTTTTTACTAAAAGCGAGATGATCGACTGTTAATAACGAAGGATAGAGCCAGAGTGTTATCATGAATAATAAATAAAGTAAGTATTTGTGATAGAACAAGTTTTCTTTTCTTGAATATACTTTTCATTGATTATATTTCTATGCAAATAAACAAGTTCCTGTTATGATTAAATGTTTTGAAAAGTAATTGTTTTTTCTTAGAGTGTAATGATGAAGTTCATCAAACAAGTTAGTAAAACGGTGTTTTAGCACCTACATGTTATGATTTCGCGCAAATATTTTTTAACAAAAGCTGTGTCCTATACACAAGCTGTTAGAGTAAATCAGTAAGATATTGAACTGATATATCAACTGAGTCGATGTATAAACCTGAGGTTTTGCTACAAATCATATGTATATTGTGATCTTTAAACATAACCACAGTTTAACCTTTTTAAACTTATTCATCAGAGCGCACGAAGACGATGTATCATAGAATTCAAACTCAAAGCTTAAATTCCATAAAAGGGGAAAATGATAATATCTTAGTATAGTACGATTAAAAGCTTCTACAGTAAAATTATCCATTTTATGATTCGAACATAGTTAACGTATTTGTGCCTTAGTTTTTGTGAAGCCCATTTGCACAGGGTAGCATGACTATCGCAGTAGTGACTTTTGCAGTGGACTCTCGACAATTGCCGAAAGTTGTGTTTTTGTTGGATTATCGCAAAATACCAGGCTGAAACTTTGACAATAGCCAATAGTCCAGTTTTGTAAATATCGAAAATACATTAAAAGCACAGTTTTAATTAGCAGTAATTAATTAATTCGCTAATTACTGAACTTTCGACAATATATAATTAAACATTGCCGAAGGTCCCAGCGCCATATTTATCGATTGTCAATACACATATTATTTTCAAGAATTCGTACTATTTGGGGGTTTATTCAGGTATCAGAATACCTGAACAAACCCACAAATAAATATGGTGCTGGGACCTTCGGCAATGTTTAATTATATATTGCCGAAAGTTCGGTAATTAGCGAATTAATTAATTACTACTAATTAAAGCTGTGCTTTTAATGTATTTCCGATATTTACAAAACTGGACTATTGGCTATTACCAAAGTTTCAGCCTGGTATTTTGCGAAAATCCAACAAAAACACAACTTTCGGCAATTACCGAAAGTCCACTGTGAAAGTCATACTACCCACCCGCTCTGCCAATAAACACTGGCGTTGATCGTCTGGAATATCGCCTTGCTAACGGTAAAAATGTGCTTACCGATTTCACCCACAATGTGCCTACTGGTCGGCGGATGGTTTGTCCTTCGAATACTCGGCCGTGTATTTCAACACCGATGTCAAATCTAAATCATGATGAAAAGTTACGTTGAAGTCACTTTTTGCTGCTTCTAGTAAATATGAAAAAATTGTACTGTAAAACAACAGCTATGTTAGACTATGTCATTGTTGTTTTGATTTAGTGTTATTGGACCCGGCCACCCATTTAATCTCTACTCTTCATCTTTTGACAATGTAACATCACTTTTTATTACTGTTATTAGAAAATTGCGGAATAAATTAGAAGCTGCATAGTTAAGAATAGTGGCGTAACTAGTAATCCGTGGGTGGTAGGGCAGTGCCCCACGACCTTTAAAAGATCCATCTACGATAGTTTAAATTTTTTCCGCAACTGACATACAGTTGCTCAGTTCTCACTTTCTTAACAGAGAGACAATACAATGTATCCGCACTTTTATTAAGTGAAATTATGTGAACAAAAAATAAAAATAAAATGAAATAAATAAACAAATAATAATTATTTCAACATTATTTGACAAAAATGTTAGTGGAAATAATTATTTTTTGTTTCACCTAGTGCCTGGGCAAAGACTGCCAATGGCAGGGCGGCGCCCGATCTAGCTCAGCCCTGGTTACGCCACTAGTTAAGTAGTAATCTTAAATTCTTTTTGAAAAATTTTTGAATTCGAGTTAGATGTATTACTCAGCACAAGAACTATGTACTCTTCCTTCTAACTTCCATTTTTGTGGAGCATACCTTTCTCACTACAATCAGAGATTTTACTGCTTTAAACAAAGTTTCGTTAAAGACATATAAGCGCTACCTAAAATAGAGCTAAAATACTTAGTTTCTGAGTAAAATAGTTACTGAGCTCGAAAGTGACTGAATGAGAAAACTGTACATCAGGCTGCCTTTGTGTTCGAAGCTGTGATTGGTAATTAATTAAGGTGCGTATGACAATCTTCGAAGGTTGTCTGCTGCAGGAAAGATATCGAACTACTTGAAACTGAAAAGTCTAATGTGTCAACGTCATACATTGTGATTGGACGCCACAAGGTGAAGTATTCCTCTTCTTGCGCCTCTTATTCTTTCAGTTTATGAGTCATTCTTTCACAAAAAGGACATGATTATGGCAGTCTAGACCAGTAAAGTTAGTTTGGAAGCTTCTGGGTTATTGCATTATGCTGCCTGAAGGTTGCCTTTCGAAAACAAAATGTTTACTCACAATCAATTTCGTCCTCTTTATCATGATTCGTTAGCCGTTTCCAAGCAGTCTCTTCTCCCGACATTATTTCATTACACAAAGATCGCCATCTCCTCTCCTAAACATTCTCGTTTAATCCATAGTTTAATGTTTCGCATATGAGTGATTCTGGTGATTTTTGTACCGTTCGATTTAAGCTAATGGAAATGCATGGTTCTCCGTTAATACTAAATCGAACTTTTAGAAGCTTATGCCATTTTATTCCGGACACTTTACTCTATATATACTGCTAAGATCTCTTTTCTGTCTTATTTTCTAAGTGTACAGTAAGCAAAACACTTTGTTTTTGTTCGTTTCTTAGTGGTTCCTGCACGTTCTTTTTTCTTAATTAACATTTTTCTTTTCTTAAGGGGCAGTGGAACAAAATCTTTTTTGCTTTTTGTGCAGTATTTTACCTCTCTGTCAATCTGCAGTCTTAGTTTTGCCTAATCTCTTTTAGTTTCTGTGAAAACTTCGATAAAATTTCTGGTCCTCGAAAAGTTCAAAAATCGTGTCCCACCCCCTTTTGAGTCTGCTGCGCAGCCAATAAGCACTTTAAGTCAAATATTTTTCTATGAAAGGATTTACCAAAGTAGGCACTGTAAATTGTTGAAAACTGCAAGTTGCTAGCTTTTTTCGTTTTTGAGTAATTGACATTTTACTGACGTCCAGTAGCTGAAGAAGTAGTAGCAGAATTGAGAACTCGTTTTTTTACCATATATGCCAAATGGGTAGCACAAGTTATGCTGTAAATAGCAAGGCTTCAGCTTCTTTCTAAAAGAAGAAATTTGAAAAATACATCAAAATGTCCCACCCCCAAACATATCTCTAGAATTGTTTTGGCTAGTACATAAAGCCTCATATTATACGATTATACGTATTTTCACACCCTGAATTGAATGGCCGGCTCAGTTTTCTGAAAACCAGCTCAGCAAAGGATTTCTAGAGGCCCAAGGTTAGAAATTGTCAAAAACCATTTTTTAATGATGCCAGTTGATAGGGCAGATGTGAAAACCTATGTTTCAATACATTTTTAAGCTCAGTTATGTCCTTTTAGCTGAAAAGCAGAGAAAATCGCATTTTCGATCCTGAGTCAAAAAGTGAACAACCAGGATTTGGGCTGAGAAGGATTTGGCAGTTTGGAAACAGAGTTTTTTCTAGACTTTCAAGTACCCTCTATAAATCTACAGTGTTAATATATTTTCTTGGACACTTTCATTTTGGGTCATTTTTTTCTTTAAAAACGGTACAAAAATCACCAGAATCCCTCATATGTTCAAAATCGCATTTGAAATCGAGTTTTTTGATGATGATATAGCGTAGTGAAAAACGAAAAGAATAGTGATAACCGTAGATGCCTCATTACCTCAATTGCCGAAAGTCCATTGCGAAAGTCACTACTGCGAAATTCCTGTTTCCCGAACGGGTCAGTAACGCTAGTCGAGATTTTTCATCTGTTTATGAGAGCTGATTGTCCGGCGCGATTTTTCTCTTGTTTTTTGTAGATGGAAGTAGAATGATATTCGAAAGTGCCGAGTAGAAAGTTGCAGCAGAGATTTGTGATTTGAAAAGAGAAGGAATATCAAGGAGTTATAAACCCATTGATTATTGAAACGATTGGAATATTCACAACAAGAAGAAGAACAAATGCTAATTTTTTATTCAGGAGATTATTGCTTAGTCCCTTTTTAGTGTTTGCCTGAAAGAGGTTTTACTCTAGTGTTGTACCACCTAACCGTATAGTCTTCAAAAAACGTCTGAGTGTTACTATTCTCACTAATGAATAATGCGAAAAGCTACTTACTGCTTAAATCTGTTTCGTAACGTTTAACTTTTTACAATTAGGTTTTGTGCCTTTTTTAGATTCAATCCCTCTACATACACAACAGTTTCTCTTGTAACTGATCATCAGTTATCACATTACAGGGCTGTTTTGTTAGAATATAACGGGTGTACCATAAATAATGCCCATCTCGATATTTTTTCTCTAATTCCTGTTCCTTAGACTCCTAGAGCAAGTTCTTGTTTTAACAGAACTGTCGTAAAATTTTCTACAAAATCATACCTAAACTTTAATTTCAGAACTTCAATCAAGAAAACTAAGCAAATTATACAAAAGGCGAAAAAATAAAATCTTTGAAAACTCAGAACCGTATGTTTCATATTAAAAATCGTTTGTTGTTCCTCGAAGAATATTTCAAAGCTTTGTTATACTGACGAGTAGTTTCGTGAGTTTTCTTTCGCTCGTTCTTGTATAGAGCTTCTGCCCCCCTCACATCTAACCTGTGAATATTTAATGATTCGAAAATATCCCCATAATAGTGTCAGATACTCAATGAAATCATCCTTGCAGAGTGCCGACTTTATTTTTTTCAAAAATATCTGAAACATATTCTATTCCTCTGTTGACTGTCATCTGCATACAAAAAATTACACAAGTTTATATGTACAAATCATAAAGAGCTTTTACAAGCTGAAACATATGTTTTAAAGATCCCTCTGAAAAACTTCTGCTTATCAAAACACGCCCCTAAATCTGCTCTTCCGAGCAGCGAAAACCGTAGCTTTCTAGGTGCTTTTTATCAAAAATTATTCAAAAAAGTATCGAGTACATCGCTTTTTCAGATAAACAAGAGGAATTTCAAACCTTTCGGATTAGGTTTGCGGAGCTATCCATCCGTTTCCCACATCGTAGAGGAATGCAATCAATTAGTAACCTTTTTTAAAATGATTTCTTCGATTAAAATGTGACGAAAATAATTTATAGCAAGAATTAGGTATTATAGATTTTTGGCTCCATTACGTGATATTAAATTAATACTTTGGAGTAAGGTAAGTAAATGAATCATAGCCTCAAAAAACATATGGGGTTATACATCACGAATGTGTGCAACAACAATAATATGTATCTTTTTGTTCTCCATTATAATTTCGTTTTGCATTCATGTATGTTTCTGTAGATTAAACATCTCGGGCGACGAGATCCATCAAGAACTAGTCGTGGAATGTTGCAACCAATACGCCAACGCTATAAAAAAAGTGAGAAAATAGAAAAAATTTCTCAAACTGGTATGTAATAATCAAACGAAAACCTGAAGAAACAGCAGTGTGAAACAAAGAAGAGAAGAGAGAGTATAATTATGTTCTTCGCACAGTTTTACAGCCGCTCTTGAAGACATTATGAGACATAAATACGGTGTAAGAAAACGGTAGGACGACAAAATTATGGATGATTTCACCAAATTTGAGATAAAAAATTGGCGAAGAGAAACAATGAATAAAGATAAGTGGCGTCAGAGAATCAACCGGCACACACAGGTTAAACCAGTACACTAACACATTCTTAAGACAGATACACTGTGATAAGAAAATATAAGCTTTAAATACAGTAAAAACAATCTTAACTCAAGTTAAAATAAGAGGAAACCATCTAAAACTATTGAAACGATGGTGGAGCTACATAATCAGGCTTGGCGTAGAAGCGGGGCTCTAATGATTTGATAAAAGGATGGGTGCTTCTTAAGACAAATCCGCTTGTGTTTCGGTGGTGGCACGCGGATGGTACATCTTATCATTAACGGCTTTTACGACGAACTAACTGGAAACAAACTGTTGAAACATTTTGCATTCTCCAGAATGTCCCAAATTTTTTTCAACTTCTTTTTTTGTGGTTTTTATTGTTTCGATCTTCATCCTACACCGCTTCTCGATAATTGTATATTCTTCCTTCTTCCTCTCCTCTCTTCTTTGATCAAACGACCCCCTGTTGTTGAAGATTCTCTTTCCCTGAACTCATCGTGCTACGAATTAGAAGGGTAACGAATAGTATGTAAGTTAAGTACTGATTTGAAGCCTACTGCCTACAGCCTACAGCCTACTGTAAGTCATTCGAGACTGTCCAACGACAAAACATTATAAGCCATCACCTTGGATTATAAACGGACATTTGCAAACGATTATGAGTGACAGGTTTCGGGTAGTTCCTCGAATGAATTTCACTCGTATACTGTTACCCACGCCAAATGACGGCTTGATAGCGGTTGACTGGCACACAAGGCCGGTCCAAAATCAGCCTGTAATGCTCATAATTCATGGTCCAGTCGGTGGTTCACACACTCCTTATATCCGTTGGATGACTAAATACGCTTATACACGGTTACATTTGTGCTGTGTCATCATGCATGCTAGAGGATGTGGTAACTCGCGGCTTGCTTCTCCAAAAATATTCAATGGAGCATACACAGGAGACATAAATGTAACAATCAAATATATTCAAACGATTATTGGTCAACATACTCCATTATTTGCCGTTGGTAAGCTGTTATCTTGTATACAAAAAGAAAAACGTTTGTTATTTTTGCTTTTCCAAGGCTATTTCTACGGGGCTGGAACATTAACAAAGTATCTTGGGGAACAGGGAGAATACTCTGATCTAACTGCTACTGTTAGCTGTTCTGCTAGTTATGATTATGTACTAACTGCTAACAGCCTGGAAAAATGGTTTAATATGATCATATATAATAAGAGTTTAACTCAAACTCTCATGACATATCTTAAAAGTCATGAAAATCAATTTCAGGATATGACGCATATCAATTTGAAAAGTGCCTATAGATCGAGAACGATCAGAGAATATGATATAGCAACGGCAGTACCACTTTTCGGTTATAAAAATGTCCTTGATTACTACAAAGAAGGCAGTTCGGCTCCGTGGATTCAACATATTCGTGCACCTATGTTAATATTGTCGGCTACTGATGATCCAATTTGTTGCATTGAAGGACTACCACTAAAAGATGTGTCCAACAGTGATCATGTTATTGCTGTACTGACAAAAGAAGGCGGGCACGTCGGATGTCTTCAAGCCTGGTGGCCCAGAAAATATAGTTGGGAAAATAAAGCGATTGCGGAATACGTCATGTCGATATTAAAACGAATACATTATGACGAACATTTTGATCAAAATAACGAAGATGAAACTTTGTGTGCAGACTATGCCGGAAATTCTATAGATATAACAATGGATCAGCATCAGTTCTAATCATATACTATTTACCTTACACCAGAGAGCTAAAATAACACCTTGGATTAAGACGATTTTTTTGGATGATTTTTGTTTAGTCGCTTCCGATAACGTTTTCTAATGATTTCCGTAGACATAACCAAAACTCGTTGTTAGCATTTCGCCTAATGAATGAGTTCCTGAGAAAATGATACTTTTTCAGAATACTTTGAGAAAGAAAAGCGATGTCTTAGAATAACAGAAAATCCGGGTTTATATAATCGAAAGGTTCCTCACACTGCCATATAAGGGTACTTTCTGCAAAAATACTTTCTGGGAAGACTCTCTTCTACCAACTCTGTGTCTGTAAGTGCTACATGTGTACTTTCGCTTGTTCTACAGAGGAGCTATATCAGAATCTTTTCGTTCAGTTACGAAGGACCGGTCTCCAGACACTTGGTTTCTGGAGATCCAAACTGCAAATGCAAACGGTCTAAATGAATATCAGATTCGTGATCAGCATATAGAACGATCCATGAAAGCGTATACTGTGGTTAAATTGGGGTGAATCACTTGCGAGGGTTTCTTCGTAAGTTACAAAGACATGTAGCAAGTGTCCTAAAACCTAAAATATTCGTTAATCCACCTGATTTAGCAGAATCATTTCTCTTTTAGTTACATGTAATCTTTTTGCTCTGAATAAACGTTGTTCGGCGAAGTGATTACCTTCTAACTCACTAGAACCGTCTTACTTACACTTAATATCGGTATCCGTCAAAGAGGCGTTTTTCGAACTCAATCATTAACCGACCATTTCTGCGCTGCTTATAATAATATCGTTGAATACATACTGGAAAACGAATTTCAGATGTATCACCTTTAATATTCCTAGATGTTTTCCAGTTTAGACTATCTTCCATCTCTAGAAGCCGGTGTGATGAGCGATGCCCAGAGAAGGAAATAAACAAAACAAAAACTCAGTCGTCAATGTGAAACGCAATTAGCCTCCTCTTTATTTCGCTTGCTCGGCTTAATGATCTAAACAATATTTTTAGAATTAGTCAGCCATTTGGTCTTTCTATTTCCTGTCGGAGATGTCATGTGATGGTAATTTTTCAACTGGATCATTAAATATATGCATTTTAATATCAATAAAATCGAGTGAACGTGACGTTGTTTGATTTAACTTTTTTGTTGATTAGAAAACATGATTTTGATTATTTGATATTTGTAAAATTTTTCTATGTGGTGCATGTACAGCCATTTGTACAATAATTAACTTCAGTTATTTTTATCATTCCCACTGCTGCACTATTTTACTTATTAACTGTCTACTGAGTAGACATGGACCCGATATCTGTAACACCGGTTCGAAAAACCTATCGTATTTAGTGATAACGAATGATATTTCGAGTCGGAACAGCAACGATGTAAAGAAAATCGGTAGTAGCCAGCCAGTATTAGGATGCAGAGGTACACAACTTTTTGAGTATGAGTATTTAGTGGTGGGTACGAGTATGGGTACAAAACAGTTTTATTTAAGTATATACTCGAGTACAAATTTTTTTAAAAAAACAGAATTTTTGTCGGAAAAATTTTCGTTTGATGATGGTATATCGATCAGTCTCTTCTGAATTCCTTTTCTTTTTAGTTAAAAAGGTTTCATCCGACTACTTTTTCGAGTAAAACTTTTTCGCATTAAAACAAGTCGCGAGTAAGAGTATCTAAAAATGTGTACTCGGGTACTCATACTCGCCCATCTCTATCAGGGTGCTTTTGAACGGTACGAGCAATGTAAAAATTTTATATGTCTGAAACGCGTTTAGCGTTGTTGGCAGATGCGTGTGAGCATATCCAGAATGGAAAATCTGAACGCGTCAAGACGTGTTTCAGTGTGTCAAACTGTTTCATTCTGGACGCGACTTCTCAGACGCAAACGTTCACATGGGTAGTGTATGCGTGCTATAGAGAATCCCCTAGCAAAATCCCTTTACAGTCATATTTAACCCTTAACCCCGCCCCCTTGGTCAGTGCAGTCACCATTTGTAGATCGATGACAAAAACTTAAGAAAGCGTGGAATTTAAAAAGTTTGGGGAGATGCCTTGTAGCGAACTTCATAAGCTATCGACTGGTAAAAAAAGTATTTTGCTTCGTTGCTTTATCTCCGAAAAAGATGAATTGTAAAATTGATGACTTCAATCTACCAATAGGCAAGATACGTCTTGATAACCTATTGTGTGGTATATAATGACAGTAATGTCTGCTACCAATATCAATGCCTTTCGAAAGTTTCAAAAAAGCCAGGTAGATAAGAGATGGTATGACACAGAATGATCACTGGAGAGTCCATTAGGCGGGAATGACTTGAAAAAGTCCTATTTTGGGCTTTTCGTAAATTTGATATAGTTCGACCAAAAAACGTCGTAGAGAGCTCGGGGCCATCTCATTCTTGTAGAGACCCAATGCAGTTATCAAGAGAACTTTAGAAAGATTTGTAAGACTTTTTTTCTTCATCGCAACAGAATAAATCCAGGAGACATAAAACTTTCCGTTTTTTCGATACAACTTTAAAGCTTAGTTCGACACCTCCTCAGTTCATTAGATACAAAGTGATACGTTTACTTCTGAGATATCTATGCATAAGATCTAGTTTCTACTGTTGCTTAACACTTTTTCTGGTTTCGGACCCGCTCATGTCTATCTCTGTACGTTCGTGTTCAATCAGATTGTAGTACAGTACTTTCTTACAGATCATCTACTAATACCGCAGATGTTTATATTGTCAACATTTAACTACTGTTTCATTCATGTGAAAATGTGACATAATCCATGTTTTGTTAGCGAATTTTAAATTTTCCTAGGCAAATTAGAGATCTATACTGACTTACAGTCCATGGACAGAGTGAATCGACGTGAACACAACCCTAATGATTCCACTTCCGATACCTGTAACATATTCTTTACTCGTATATAAATGGAACATACTTTGCTATAGTGAATAACGAATAATCTGTCGTTCCGTTCTTTTGAAGCTTGCGTATTACTACCCATCTCTACTCTTCATTTTCTACGGTTCAGTTTAACTGAGAAAAACACTTTTTATTGATTCATTGATTCTGTTTTTTCGTTGCTTTGCACTTTATTGATACACTCGTAAGCGCTTGCAGAAGCAATTTAAAAAAACAAAGTTTTGCTTACAGGGTTCCAGCTAAAAGCTTTTATTTTTCGGCTAAAGATGTCAAATTATTATTACGTTCTCAAGTAATTCTTTTTTAAACCTTCATGTATGTATTCTGGCTAAACTAAATTGAATAATGATCAAATTTAATATGTTGTTGTTGCCGTTGTTGCTTTTTCTCGTATATGAAATTTCTTTTAAATAGATTTTAGAAATGCGATTGACATTTCTAGTTCTCTACCTAGAAGAAATGCCATATATTGATTAAGCTAATCTTCGTGAATGTACTTGCCCAAATATCCTCGCAAGTTTTGTCCAACGTTCTTGGCTTTTCCGCAAGTAAATCAAGTACTGGAACTACTTGATCTGCTTGTCAAGCACTTGGCTAAGTACTTGCCCAAGTAACCCGCAAGTACCTGAGGAAAGTTTGACACGTGCTACTCTTGAATAAATTCTACAAGTACTTGAAGTACTTGGGAAGTACATGAAAAATAACATGTGTGTCTTGGTTAAAAAATGTTTATTCTGTTATTTTATTTTATTTTAATGTAGCGAGTGCATAAGAAACAATTCTGATAAATGTGCTCATAAAACGTTACTCGTACAATCATGGCTGTGTAAGGAGTGTGATCATTCGTGTTCTTTCCATTTGCTCAATTATTATCAGATGAACTCGACCAAATCTGATCAGTGCTCTCCAAACAAAAGGTTTACTATTGAACCTAAAAGAGTATCGAGAATTACAACCGTGTCTCCACTCTTTAGGTTTCGTATGATATTCGGGATTCACCAGCCACTAAATGTTTTGAAAGATGAATGGGAATGGTTTCGTACGGCCACTTTGAAAAAATAAAAATTGTTATAAAAGATGTTTTTCCGATAAACCTTCTTGATGTTTTAGTAAAGCAATCCGAAATCTTTGCGAAAAGAAGTTATTCTTCGGATACGCTACTCCTATTTCGTCAACAGCTTACGAAACCGTATTTCATAAAATGGTTATTCAAAAACACGAAAAATTAAAGATTTGGTAATGATCTTTTCTTAGAGAGTACATAATCCTGAACTATAGATATTAGTCGCCAATCTCGTGCCGTGCACACACCATTATGTTTGCAAGCACT